TAGCACTACGTATGCGAAGTCTTTGAGTTAGTTTTTGCTAATTTGGTTTCAACGCGAACACGTTTGATTGATTGATTGAAAGCAGCGATGAAGAGTGGTGGACAGGCGAGATAGTGTACAGGCTGCAACTTGAAGTCGCACGTAAGGCCATACAAACTGTGGTTGAGCTGCCACAGGTGCCTACAATCGAGCTCGTTTTTCTACCCGTTTAGGACTTTGTTCCATTGTGTTGCACGTCGCTTGGCTGTTGCAGTATTCATTTTGCGTATGTATGAAATAGATCCTGACATTGTCAGTGCTGCGTGCCTGGCTGACGCAATCTTTGTGCAACGACCTCGCTGGAAGCGCGTCACCGCCTTGGCAGATCGCTGATGTCCAAGTGCACATTTGCGTGCCGCTGGAGCCGGTACGCACATGGTCTTATCGCGCAACCACGGGTGAATAAGAAGGTTTTTCTTATTTACCCTTGGCGCGACGTTGACGTGGACAAAGCGCATCTCAAGACGATGGAGTCTGGCGCACTAGACACCCGCATTGTTTTTGTTGTCATCGGACAAACGCCGAGCAGAGTGCTCACAGGAACAACGACCGCCTCTTTGCCGCCGCTGCGGGCGCCGACTGCTAACGTTTGGCTGATATGACTGCAACTTGAATCGTATCGCTCATTGGTCGACTAGCTGCGAAAGTGTGGGTACTTGCCAGCCAGAAGTCGGTATGCACCTCTCGCCACACGCGATCCAAACTGCAAAGTGTGGTATGCTCACGGCCGACATCCTACTCCACTGCACTCGGGTACAAGTGTACCTTGCTGTTGCAACCCTCATACAAGAACACGACCGAACCCACCGACTGGACGCCATCCTTTCCGTCAACTAAGCCATCCAGTAAAAAGTGGCCGTTCACGCACACTTGACAGGGTACACTGTACTAGTGCCATACAACGGCGAGGTCCTGATCTGCCGGTATCCAGCATATAGCTCTTCGTTCAGATACGCAACTAAGTGCCATGGATCACCACAAGATGCTCAGGAATCCACAGCCGAATCTACATGCCAAGCGCGTCTCGACAGATCTTGCAGGCGTTGTAGAATGCGTGGCTGGCATCGGACCCAAGCCCATCTGGCGTTCCCAGCTGTTTTCAGCGGCAGGTGGCGCCGTAGTAATGGCTCGTTTGCCTCAGCGCAAAGCATCCATTCTCGAAAATGATGCTGCGCGAGTACTGGACGATCGTGCTCGAGGCCAAGACGCCCTACGAACGTGCTTCCGAGGCGTTTGTCTTTTCTGGCCGCTCACGAGCGCGACCCGATCGACACCGGCAGTCTCTGTCCTCCGCTTCCACCGCATCTACCTCTTTGTCGCGGTCTTTCTCATCCAGTTTTGCTCGGGGTCGCTTTACTCGCTCCTCTTCCTCGCCGATCCCATCAATCGGTTCTTTGGCTTTGGAGACAATGCGCCGGAAGCCACGAACCTCCTCTTTGAAGCTGGCGTCTTTAGCCTCCTCTCCCCGGCGCTTCTCGGACCGCTCCTCGAGCGCACGGGGCCACGACGCAGCATGGCTGCTGGCACGGTCCTCACGGCGCTCGGTCTTCTTCTGTCGCACACGGCAATTCTCACGTCGTCATGGTTGCTCTTACACGTCGGGTACACTGCTGCGACCGCCATAGCACGCCGCTGACTGCTCGTAGATGTGATTGCATTGGGTTTGCATTTGGCGCGATCCTCACGTCGTCCATCTCGACCGCGCTCAAGTGGGCACCCGACGTGCGCGGGACGGTCACGGGCGCGTGTCTTCTCGGGTCGGGCGTCGGTACCAACGTGTGGCGCATCGCGTTTGATGCGATCCTCGCGTCGTCCCCTGACGGCCTCCAGAATATCTTTGGCCTCCTTCTCGCGGTGCTCGTGCCCATGTTGATGCTTGGAACGCTCGTGTTGCGGACGCCGCCTTCGGACTTTAGCGTTCGCGGCCACGACATGCACTGCATTCCGCTCGACAAGGCGCCCAACGCCGATATGGTCCTCGACGAGTACCTCAAGGTGGGCATGACGCTCCTCAACTACAGCGCGATCCGTCCAGCGTCCGACGCCCTCCTCGACGGCACTGATCGACAGTACTACGAACAAGTCAAGGCGCTCACGCTACCCCAGTGCATTCTCTCGACCGACTTTTTGTGTCTCTTTATCGCGTTTGCCGCCAACGGTCTCTCGGGCTTGCTCTACACGGAAGTGACGGCCATTCAAGTCGACCGGGACTTGCTCGTCGCCTGGTACAACATTACGGACGACGAAGCGACGCGCGTCCGCCTTTGTGGCGCGGTCGCCGACCTTGTCGGCCGCTTTCTTGTCTCGGCGCTCTCGGACGTGTGCATTCGCCTCTTGTATGGCAACCCCGCGGTCGTACGCAAAAGCTGCTTTGTGCTCTTGCTGCTTGTCCAGTGCATCGCCGTGCCGATGCTCTATTTCGCCTCGGACAATATGACCAACTTTGGAACGGTCGAGTGGCTGCTCTACACGGTGCAGTTTACCGCCAACGCCGGCGCGTCCTTGATCGTGTGCTTCCTCACCGACATGTACGGTGTGTACCATGTCGGCACCATGTATGGCCTCGTGCTCATGGGCTGGGCCGTTGATCAAGTCGTGTTGGGTCGGGCGCCGTTCGAGGACGGTGGTGCACGGCAATACACCACGCCCTCCTTGTCGCTGAGCAACGCACGCGCGTGCTCGTTCGCCACGACCCGGATCGGCCCGATGGCCGAATCAAAGTCGTTCGTCACGTGATACCGGTACAAAAGTCGATCTCCCGCGTCTTCGTGTGCAGCTGTCCGGTTGCGCTGGGCCACGATACGGCATGGTCGAGTGGGAGTGTGTCGGCGAGGCCCGCCAGGTCGATGCGCAAGCTCCATGTCAACGACGTGCTGAGCCCGACGTCTCCCTAACTGTTAGGCTGCTTGCTGAAAGGCAAATTGAAAACTGAATTACATCGTCATTTACAAAGCTAACCCTAGCCCGAGTCGTGTAGGTGTAGGGGATTGAACTTCACCTTGAACTTCACCTTGCACTGCAAGGTTGTCATGGAGAACTCGACCTGGTCGGCAGGATCCGGTCGTAACACTAACTGTGTGTCTTTATAGTATAACCCGACCCCTAAATTTGATTCGATATCGTCACGTTGAAAAAGAGACGTGCAACACGGAAACAACAGCGATAGATCCCCAGATCATCCCAAATGCACGAATCAAAACAAACCAAAACGTTCTCGCTCTGCCTTACGCGGTAGCCAGCAGCGCACACCTTTTTCTAAACAATCGATGGAATTTTGAGCGTTAAAGATGGCTGCTCCAGCTCTCGCAACCCTTCATATGACCTATGAGTTTGAGTCGGTGCGACTAACAGCAGGCTGAAATGGATGTTCTTGGTGGCTGATCCATGTGAAGGTAGTCCACCATTCAATGATTGACATGATGCTTTTACAAGCTCGATCCAAAGTGGTGAGAAGCTATCCCGAGTCGTATCGACTAACGGCGACGTGAAGCGCACCTTGAAAATGTGCTTGCAGCTTCTACCTCGGTCGGTGTGGCCTGGCTACAACGGCCGGTGCACCTCTGGTCTAGATAGCGGCGTCCTGACAGCGTCACAAGGAGTTACACCAGTGTGTTCGGCTTGTAAAGTCGTTAAAATTAGCTGAATCGCCATGCGACGTCCGACCAAGGTGGCCGACACGAGTACCCCGGCACGACGCCGCGTCCATCGAAATCGTGTCGCGTGGTGCTTTAGCGTCGCTTCCATGCTCAAGGTGTCTACGATGGTATTCTGCCGTCGGGCTGCGATGGGATCCTAACGTTCTGTAGCCGCTCACGGCTTACGTGTCCGAGCACTTTCCGTGGGCAGGCACGTTGTCACCCCCCACTGAGTATGCCAACTACAGCGCCTTTTCGAATTCTGAACTTGCGCTCAAGCGCGCCTTGTATACGAACGCGACACTGCCCGACGGCAAATCGTACTATGTCGATAATGCCAAGAACGCCCAAGTCGGCCGCGGACTACTGCGTCTGGGGCAGCCCCCGATGCCAGTCACCACGTGCTCGAGCTCTCTTCTACCAGGGCTCCCAGGTCTCATCTTTTACTCGGATCGTATCATTGAGATGCTTTGCAACGCGGCGACGGCACCGAATGCCAGCGCCGTCGACTGGGCAACCCAAGGCTCGTGCTTTCAATCGCAGTTTCTGTCCTTCTCGTTGGGCCACTCGTGCGTCTGGCTCGTCTCTGGCGATGCAATCAACAGCGGCAGCGTCGATGCGGCGGCCATGACTGTCTACTTTGTGTACAACGAGTCTCGGTTTGCAGTGTGGGTTTGGCTCAAATTTGGCTACCGGATCCTCGTGACACTCTTTGTCTGGTATCGGCTCTGGACGCAGTACTACAAGCACGTCATTGACCTCGAGCGCTGCTTACGGGTGCGAGGGCATCGCGAGACGCTGCCGCATCCTGCCTCGTGGTCGTATGAACTCGTGCTTGGCGATCCCACTGCGATCGTTCTCATGGACCCGTGGGTGGCTACCTTGTATTTTTTCGATATTTGGCTCAGCGTGACCAACCTATCGGTTGCAATCTTGCAAGTTGGGCAGTCGGGCAGCACTGAGCATCTCGTGCGAAGCATTTGGTACCTCTCGCGGACGGTATACTGACCTCACGTTTCCCACTTATGGATGTTGATAGATCTGGTTTGCCTTTTGGGGCCTCTGCCTTGCCTCGTACGGTCTCAAGCGCTGGCACAAGGAACATCTTTTTGCAACCATTGATCCGACACTGCTCTCGCTTGCAGTCATGGTTTATGGCCCGCTTTTGACATGGACGAGTGCGCACCTCCCGCCGTTCACGCGTTTCTACCAATGGACGCTCACGTTTGGCATCCCCCACATCGCCCGCAACGAAGCAATCGAGGCAACGCTGGCTTGCATCGTATATGTCGGAAGCATTGCGAGCCTTCCGCTTCTTTATGGCTTGGTGACACCCGCGCTACGTCGAGTTGCACCACTGCGTTTCAAGAGCGTCCACGCGCGGCGCGACTATGCTAGTTTCCGCTACAACCATATCAAGAACCGAATTCTTTTGAGCATTTTCCAACGTCGCCAGCCGCGCGACAAGGCCATTGGTGGCACGGTGCATGCTGTCATGGACAAGCATCCGCGCCTTCGACGTACGCCGACTATCAGTACGCGTGCGACCGACTGCTTTGTGACGTGCTACTGCGACGGTCAGCCCCAAGAGCAGTTGCGCGTGAGCTTGCTCTGTGATCTCGACATGCGAAACGACGACGACGACATGGTGATTCATTCAAGCGACGTGCAGTCTGAATTTGTCGTTCATATTCTGCGCGAGGCACCACTTGCTATGCAGCAGGTGATCGGCTCCGGACCCGCCGTGACGACGAGCTACCCGTATGTGCTGCACCGAGCAAGGACGCCATCGAGCTGGTGCCTCTAAGCCGCGTTCACACATGACGAATAGAGACACTATTGCCCGATAAATCTTTTTAATACCCAAAAGAAGGTTGTGAGATCGCGTCGGTCACCTTGCAACTTTGCGGCGGAGGGACACTTCTAGCGGCGGGCTATTAGTGATGCGCCGGATTAGTAAACAATCGAGACGCAATATCGACCTTTCTGTGTTGTCCGTATGCAGTGGTTGGTCGAAGCTGACGACCACCGTCGGCGTGCATCGCGACGACGTTACGCACCCGCCAGCTCGTGGGACCGTACGCACGCAATTTAAAGATACTGAAAAATATCGAGATTCGTGCTTCGCCCGGCAATCCGTAGTACGATTGAATGCGTTGTATGCGCATGTCTTTGGCCTATGTCGTTTGTAAGCTTCAACGCCATGGAAGAGCGGTTGTTCTCAACGACCGCTCTTCGTCACACGCACAACGACTCGTTGTGACGTCGCGCCAACCCGACGAGCATACTGGAACATGTCTATCACCACATTTTTCGACCGCTATACTCCCTAGAATCGACGAGCAACTGCAGCAGATTGGGTTGACAGCAAGATAGAATTGCCCGGGCACACTACATGTAGTATCGCTGACGTCACACATTCTAATGGAAACAATAGAAGGATGCACGGCATATTCTATTCCTAACCTGAAGGCGCAGCAAACTTGAAGAATGTCAAAGGACGGTGCTTGGCTCGGCCATGCACAGTCGCGATGTATTTTGAACCAGATTGGTGCCAGAAAAGAGGCGAACACAGTGCCTGTTCCTCATGTGCGTCACGTCATCGCGCCTTCGTTGCAATCACGTCTCCACGTCGTTTTTAACTAAGCGAAGTAAGCAATTCCCTTGTTTCGAACGTACGCAAAAGAATCCGAGCCGGCCACGGGGCGAACTTCATCGTTGCGCGCATTTTCTGAGGCCGTCCGGGGTTGGCGTCGTCGTCAATCGGGTCGGGATTACTGCCTACCACCATGTAGGCCACTGTATTAAATGTCGGGGGTTGCGCAGCTCGAAGCCGTGGCACTCGAGATTCACGACTAAACACGAGTCCGGGATCGACTCAGGCACCGGCAGTTCCTCGCGAGCGACGTGAGGAATCCCTTCAATGCGATGTCGTACGTCTCTACAAAGATTTCAATTCATATCGTACGATATCAGGAAGTCCATATTGTATTATCTTCAGTGGAACGGCGATGACTCCGACGAGCTACTGGAGTGACCAACAAGTCCCAAGCCATGTGGAAGAGGCTTGTGTAGCCGTGGCCGCACATTGTATCGAGTTTCCGAGGTACGTAAATCAGATGTTGCACCCGGCTGGCGTCGCAGGCTCAGAAGAGACGTCTGCCCCATACAGGCTTGGGTGGGGATCTGGTATCTTTGGCCCTCGTCTATACCCGTCATTATCCAAAAGCATGGGTTGCGCCGACTACTGGACGATCTCGCTACGGACAAAGTCTTTTTACGAGGTCGACGCGGAAAAATTTGTTTTCTTCTGGCCGCTCTCGAGCCGCGTTGCGCGGTTCCCGGCCTTCCAGTGCCTTCGCTTCCACCGGATCTACCTCTTCATCGCGGTCTTTCTCATTCAGTTCTTTTGCGGCTCACTCTACGCCATCTTTGTCATTGCCAACCCGATGAACGTCTACTTTGGCTTTGACGCCAACGGCAACGAAGCGACAACGATGCTGTTTGCTGCCGGCGCATGCAGCATCGCGTCGCAAGCTCTCTTAGGGCCACTTCTTGAACGCCAGGGACCACGGCGCAGCATGACGGTCAGCATTGGCTTGCTCGCGCTGGGTCTCGTCCTCGCGCAGACGGCGGTGTGGACACGAACGTGGGCGCTTCTGCATGCCGGGTACGTCTTGGTTTTGTCTTCCAAATGGTGGCGAAGTGTGTCCATAGATGCTACCTCCTCGCGATCGCGTTTGGGGCCATGACGATATCTTCCATGGCGGCCGCGCTCAAGTGGTGCCCCGATCTCCGGGGCACCGTCACCGGCTGCTGCATCTTTGGGTACGGCCTCGGCACGGGTCTTGCGCGGTCGCTCTTGCACGCGCTCCTCAACAACTACCCCAACACGCTTCGCTGGACATTTGGCATCTCGTTTGCTGTCGCGATCCCGCTTCTCTCGATCGCAACGCTCGTGCTGCGGACGCCGCCATCGGACTTTAGCGTCCGCGGCCACGACATGCACTGCATTCCGCTCGAGACGGCGCCGAACGCCGACATGGTCCACGACGAGTTCTTACGCGTCGGCATGACGCTTGTCAACTACAGCGTGGTTGGCGGCATCGAAGGCACCGACCGACAGTACCACGAGCAAGTGCGCGCACTGACCTTGCCCCAGTGCATCCTCTCGACCGACTTTGTCTGTCTCTACATTGCGTTCGCGGCCAACGCCCTCGTCGGCCTCATCTACAACGACATGCTTGCGCTGCGCGTCGACCACGATCTCCTCGTCGAGTGGTGCCGTGTGTCGTCCGCAAAGGCTGCGTCCATCCGATTCTACGGCCTCCTCGTCGATCTCGGCAGCCGCATGTTCGTCCCGATGCTCTCGGACGCGTGCATCCGCCTTTTTTATGCCAACCCCGCCGTTGTCCGCAAATTCGTGCTCGTCATTTTGCTCTTGGTGCCGTGCGTGGCACTGCCGACGGTCTATTTCCACAGCGCCAACCTCGCCAAGATTGCGTACATTGAAGGCCTCCTCTACACCGTCCAGCTGTGCGCGAGCGGCGGCGCGGCCCTCATCGTGTGCTTTCTTGCCGACATGTACGGCGTGTACCATGTCGGCACCATGTACGGCCTTCTCTCGACCAGCTGGGGTCTCGACCGCGCGCTTCTGGGGCTGGCGCCGCTTAATGTGCTTCACGACTTGACGAGTCGGCTGGGCCTTGTCTGGTACTGCTCGCTGGCCGGGCTCTTTTTGATGCTGTTTGTGCGCACGGACTCGAAAGACCGGTTTTACCGCGGCTACCAACTCACTGTGTGCGGCAAAGTGCTCGTGCAACGGCCGGCGCGGCGGCAGGTTTCGGACGACCTCAAGATCGGTATGATGGGTGTCTCGTCGGACCCGCCACCGCAGTCGTTTTTCCTCTGGGACTCGGCGCGCCATAGTCTTAGCGACGACGACGTGCTTTTACCAACACCGCGGCTGTAATCTGAATCCTAACTATCACTCTCAACCGCGTAAATATGTCGTGTCGAAACCATAGAGTACATATGTAACCAGGCTGATACACAACAAGAAGCGAACGCTTGCACTACCGCCCGCTCACGATCTCGCCAAACTTTTCTGGCGTCTCAGGCTCGTAGCCCAACAACAGGCATGACCGGAATGGCATCTTGGCCCGCGGGTGACACCCCGTGTCTTCATCAGCAGAGACCACTGCACACTCTGTAAGTGAGTCCCGAGAATAGGCAAGTCATTTTCTGGCAGCGGTGGGCGACCAATTGGGGTAGGTTCTCGTCGCTGCTTGGTTGATATAAACAAGTGGTGACGACATGGAGGTTTGCAAAGTCTGGCCTCATATACCGTGGGGTGCCGAAAAAGTACGGCGTCACGCTCCTTGCCACCGAATTGGATTGGTAGACAATGCGGATGCCGATGTCAGCGAATCCATGAGGTACACAACCGACGTGGCTCTGCGTGCGGTTTCTATTATATATTCGCACGTTCTAGAGTCCTGCGCTCGCACGTCTGTCCAAACGTGCAGCATTCGAGTCGGACACGTCATAGAAAACGCAAGTGACGCCGCGAGACGGTGTCATTGCTGCCCAGCGAGGCACGTGGTACTTTTGAGCGCAGCGAGAAAGTTGGGTTTTGCCGTCCAGATGGACGCGATGAGTCGGCAGTAGGCTAGGTAGTTTTACACATTTAGCCTCGCCGCTATTAACCCGCCACGCCACTTCCAATGGCTAGCGGTCAATCGAGTCGTCGATTGCCCCACTCGAGCGTCGTACAAGGTGAAATGACTTCATCAAGGACGTGTGGAGCACGCTTCACGCGGTTCCTTGGGCGTGATCTTGTCGACAACGCTCTCGGGCTACCTCTACTGGACGCTCAAGACGGCCTCCAATATCAATTATTCCCTTGTCCAACATGGATCAAGCCGCATTCAGCTATGACTGGTCCGTGCTCCGCGCCTGCGGCTGGTTCAACGAAGGGGAATCCAATACAATGATTGATTTGCCGTCACCCTTTGGACGCAGAACTCGTTTTGCTACTACCCAGCCCATATCCGGACGGACGATTGCCATCAAGGCGGCGCGTGTCGCTCAACTGCACTTGCACCACAGCCTCGTCCAAAAGCCCGAGTAGCCTGCTCGTCGTCGGCTTCTCCGGCTCCTCGCCCAACACGAGTGGCCACGCCGGCACCTCGTCCCGCGGATCGCGCTCCAGTCTCCGTCTGCCTAGATCGCGTTCCTCAACTGAGCATAACGGTTACATAAGGATAAAAGTCCGACTCCTTTTATATGTTAGCAAAGTTATCAACAACACGAGTAAAACTACCTTAGCATGTAAATTAAAATGTCGGACTTTCATCCTTATTCAACCGTTCAACTTGGATGAGGAACGCGATCTAGGCAGACGGAGACTGGAGCGCGATCCGCGGGCCAAGGTGCCGGCGTGGCCACTCGTGTTGGGCGAGGAGCCGGAGAAGCCAAGCCGACGACGAGCAGGTTGCTCGGGCTTTTGGACGAGGCTGTGGTGCAAGAGCAGTGGAGCGACACGCGCCGCCTTTACCCATTGAGTCTTACCAAGCGTTTGCGAGGCACCAACGAATGAAATGAAAGCGGTCTACTTACGATTGATCCCTCCCAATCGCTTGCTCATCGGTGCTTCTCGGTACCTTGCTCATCGGTGTCTTTGTCTCGTGCCGGCGTCTAGCATGTGGTACATGTGCAATCGCGGGTGTTCTACATATCTTGATGGATTCCATGCAATATGATGTCAACGTAAAGCAGTCGCGCCGTGGCGCGTATTCACCACCAATGGATTACCACCGCCATGACGCACAGCTGATAGGTGATGTGGGTGTGGTCGGTGGCGATCGACTCGATATTTCCGATTATTCGAACGCCGACCACGAGCGTAGCCAAATGCGTTATGGTCAGAGAAGAGAAATGCAGTCATTGCCCTACTACTCACTTTGGATTTGATGCCGTACTGGACTATCGAGCTGTCGCCCAAGCCGCTCTACGAGGTGCAAGCGGAGAGATTTCTCTTCTTCTGGCCGCTTACATCCAACGAGCTACAGCTTCCCAAGCGCGCGTACATACGCTTTCACCGCGTCTACCTTTTCATTGCGATCTTCCTCGTCCAGCTTTGCTCGGGGTTGCTCTACGCGTTCTTGTCGCTTCCGAACCCGATCAACATCTACTTTCAGTTCCCCGGCGACGACAGCGCGGCTGCTTGGCTCATCTTGGCGGCTGGCTGCGTTGGCATTGTGCAGCAAAGCACGCTTGGGCCGCTCCTCGAGCGCCAAGGCCCGCGCTGGGGCATGACCAGGGCCACGCTCTTCATGGCGCTGTGCCTCGCCTGCATGCTCCTCTCTGTGCACATTCCGTCGTGGCCGCTCTTTTGTGCCGCGTACGACAACTTGTCCACTCTTCTGCTATTGATGCGCTGTGTGTGTCTAGGATGCTCGGTGCCGCGCTGTCGTTCAGTGCCTTTCTCGTCGTCTCGGTCTCGACGGCCATGAAGTGGTGCCCCGATGCCCGGGGCACCGTCGCCGGCGTCTGCCTCGTCGGCTTTGGCGTCGGCAAGGGCATTTGGACGCTCTTGTACTGCGCCAAGACGGGCCAGGACGGCATCGATATGAAGCGCGTCGTTGCGCTCTTCCTTCTCACTCTACTGCCGACCATGGCAGTCGCAACGTTGGTTATACGGACACCGCCGTCTGACTTTAGCGTGGCCGGCTTCGACATGCACTGCATTCCGTCCGTGAAAGCACCCGACGCCGACCTCGTTCAGGACGAGTTTCTCCGAATCGGCATGACGCTCGTCAACTACGAGGCGATTGCGCGCCACAGCAATTCGCTCGTGGAGGGTACGGACCGTCGGTACCATGAACAAGTCAAGGCCTTGTCACTGCTGCAGTGCATCTTGTCGCTTGATTTTATCTGCCTCCTCTTCGCGCAGTTGTCGACTTGCATGACGGGTATCCTATACGACAACTTGACGGGCGCGACGACGTCCGGGACACTGCTGCAGACCATGTACCACCTATCCGACGACGACACGACGACCCTTCACATCCACGGGCTTGTCATTGACCTCCTCGGCCGCCTCGTGCCCGCGATTCTATCGGACGTTGGCATTCGCGTCTTTTACGCCAACCCCGCGGCCGTGCGAAAAGTCTTCTTCACAAGTATTCTCATGCTGCAGTGCATAGCGATTCCTGTCGCGTACCTCGAGTCGGACAAGCTGACGCATTTTGCGCACGTCGAGTGGCTTCTCTACGTGCTCCAGTTTGCCTCGAACGCCGACGCGTCGCTGCTCGTGTGCCATCTCACCGACTTGTTTGGCGTCTACCATATCGGCACCATGTACGGTCTCTCGTCGATGACGTGGGCACTTGGCCAAGCCCTCGTTTTCGCGACGACTGGCAATGACACGACGGCGCTCGCGTATCAAATGCGCCTTCTCGGGTGGCTCTCGCTTGGGGGTCTCTTCTCGATGCTCTTTGTACGCGCCGACTCGGCCGATCGTTTTTATCGCGGCTACCGGTTTACAGTGTGCGGCAAAATCGTCGTGGAGCGTCCGTGGAAAGAACCACCACAGCGCCAAGGCACATTTGACATTTGCGTCGACGTGCGTGCGATTCGGAGTTCCGCTCCGTACCTCTGCGCTCTCGACTCGCCCGACGATGACGATGAGTGGTTTGACGACGACTCGCTCGAGTGCGCATCGAATGGAGATGCAGCATCAAACGTGGCCTAATTTAGTCGATTCAATGTGGACGACGGGTTAGGCTATATTGTACTATTAGAAAATATCATGTAGATCAATCGGCGTTGCGTGTGGTACCACTGTGCGTTGTGCACTTTGATGTGTCCTATCCAGGATGGACAGCTCGTAACAAGTCGTCCCAATCGAATTTTAGAGTGCAATCAATCCGTCAATCAGTCAATCAATCAATCAGAAGTGTTCGCGTTGAAATCGAAATACCCGTACTAACTCGGAGAATTTTAGAGCCATTTTAGTAGTTTTCGCCATGCCACTCTGCATGCGCTAGCACCTCGTCCATCATAATCAAGAACTTATTTCTTATAGTACAACTCCGCGAGCTTTTCCTGATGACGACTCGTTCTACATGACATCACTTGGTCGGATCGTCCTCGAGGCTGCCCAACGAGCTCGACGACGACCAGAGGTACGGCATCGAGGCAAAGGCTTCGTTCGTGTCGGGCACGTCTGCATAGAAATCCATCGTCTGAGCATCGTGGCTACGGCGCCACGGCCGCCGCACGAGCACCTTGCCGCACACTGTGAATTGGTAGCCGCGGTAGAACCGGTCCGACGAGTTTGTCCGCACGAGCAGCATAAAACCAAACCCGAGAAGCGAGAGATACCAGAACAGCAGCACTTGGCGGCCAATCTCACTCGTCGAGTCGACGGCAAATGCAAGTAAAATGCCTTGGCCAACCGCCCACGTCAGCGACGAGAGGCCGTACATGGTACCGACGTGGTAGACACCAAACATGTCGGCCAGGAAGCACCCGAGCAGCGACGCGCCAGAGTTGGAGGCAAAGTGCAGCAGATACAAGAGCCGCTCGACCGACGCAACGTCCGTCATTTGGTTGGACGTAAAGTAGACCAGAGGCAGCGCCACGCACTGCACAAGCAGCAAGACGAGGAAGCAGCCTTTACGAACCAGCGCCGGGTTGCCGTACAGCAGCCGGATGCAAATGTCCGAGAGAATGGGGATCACGAGCCGGCCCGAGAGGTCGGCAACGACACCGCGGAACCGAATGGCGTCGGCGGCCGCGTCCGAGATGTGGTACACGTCGCTGAGGAGGTTCGAGTGGACTTGGGTCGCGGTCATTTCGTTGTAAAACAAGCCCACGACCGAGTTGGAGGTCAGCGCGAGGAGGAGACAGGCAAAGTCGGTCGAGAAAATGCACTGCAATAGCGACATAGCCTTGACTTGCTCGTGGTACCGACGGTCCGTGCCCTCGACGAGCGAGTTGCTGTGGCGCGCAATCGCCTTGTAGTTGACGAGCGTCATGCCCACATGGAGAAACTCGTCCTGGACGAGACTCGTGTTGGGAGCTTTGGCGCACGGAATGCAGTGCATGTCGTGCCCGCGGACGCTAAAGTCTTTTGGTGGCAAGCGAATGATGAGCGTCGCTAGCAAGAGCGTCGAGAGAAGCACGGCAAGGAGGATCCAAAAGAGGTACTGGAAGGTCGCGTCCGTGCCATCGAGGAGCGCTTTGAAGAGCAGCCCCCAGAGGTGTTTGCCAAGTCCAAAACCAAAGAGACAAATGCCAGCCACGGTACCGCGAGCATCCGGTGCCCACTTGAGCGCGGTCGAAATGGATGCGAGCATTATCGCTCCAAACGCTACGGCGACGAACGCGACTCTACATCCGACATGGTAAGCTGAAACTCAGATCGTAGTGGCGTGTACCCGACGTGAAGGAGGGCCCAGATGTGCAGCACGGTCGCGATCTGTGCCGTCAAGAGCCCAACGGCCATAATGCCGGTGCTGACGCCAAGGCTTTTGCGCGGCCCCTTGCGCTCGACGAGCGGCCCGAGGAGCGCTTGCGCGAGGATACCAAGGATGCCCGAGATGACGACGGCATTGGTGGCGTTGGCACTGTCCTCTGGAAAGCCAAAGTAGACGTTGATGGGGCCCGACACCGAGTAAATGGCGTAAATGGAGCCGGTCGCAAACTGGAGGAGGAACGTGGCAAAGAAGACGTAGGCGCGATGGAAGCGGAGACAGTAGAAGCGCGGTGCCTGGCGACTTGCACTGTAGAGCGGCCAAAAGAAAACGTGGCGCTCGGCGTGCACGGCGTACGGCGCCTTGGGATCGAGTGCGATCGTCCAGTACGCCCGCAGCATGCTGCTGCTCGCCACCGACAATTTGCCAAAGTGACAGGCGGGATCAGGCAACCCGTCCGGGTTGTGTGAGAAAGGCCGTCGTCGCAGATTCACGCATTTCACTGGTGCAAAGTGGGTGAAAAACAAACGACTTTTGGGACTACTCTGCAAATATATCGTCGCCTGGTATTTCACACGTGTGAAAAATACAGTGGGCTTCATCGGTTGCCCAGCTGGTGTGAGTCTCGCGTGTGAAACGTGATTTTTTGTCAGGGTGTTGTCTGGGCCAGTGGAGGCAGCCATGTAGCCACTCATAGCTACGACGTACTATTATACGCAATACTGTACTACACCGAATGCTGTTATAGAATGAGGTACTAGTATAGTACATCCATGTTGAGATCATGCCGCAAACCAATACGTGTTGCAAAAACGTGTGGCTTCTACTAGGCTCTCTTGAAGAGCGTTAAGCGCCGTCCAAAGCAGGGTCGCTTTCGGTAGCAAACGTGGCAGCTCGGAGTGGCCCGGTTAGCAAACAGTGTCAGCTCAAACAGCCAACTTATTATTATTTATCATTAGGAGAGCGGGTGGATTGGACCACTGTTCGTCCATCGAAGAACAACACGCAACATACGAAAATGAAAGTCTGGGATTTCGGTGCTGGTCACGACATGCTCTCCGTCGCGGTACATGTACAGTTGTCCCTGTCACTGCGACTTTGGAACTTTGGAATACACTTACCGGTAATGCTACCGAGTCGATAATCAAAAGGTGCTTCGATCACCGATTTTTCTCCATCAAGTGTAGTGTACCATGCACTGATTGCCACACACAGCCGAGCCGCACATGTGCTCTTTTGTTCTATTTGATTGGTGGCATTTTGGCCAATCACAATGGCGCTCCAGGATTGTCGGCGGAATCTTGCAGACCACCGAGTGGTCACACCCAAGGGGCCTTCTTCGTCCAGGCTTTGAGCTCCCCAAGCTTAAAAATTTACGAAGATACATGCAACAAATACCCTTTCATGATAGGTCAGCAGTCACTACTGCGTGGAGCTTCGTCTGAGAACAGCGCAAAACCTGATCGCCAACGTTATTAGGACACGAGAAGCCTTTTCCCGTCGTTTCACCCGACAGACAACTCTGCTGCGTTGTCTCTAGCGCTGAGCTGCTACGTCTGGTGTCATCTTGCAACAAAGCACCTGTATGGCACCACCGAATCACTTGCGTCATGAACACCTACGAGCAATGCAGGACGATCAAGTTTTGACGCTACCGACTCAACTTCGGTACGTTTATGACCACATCTGGTCACAAACGTTACCACATCCATGGTGGTACAGGTCGCACGCGAGGTTGCATGCTCATCATCTAGATTGCACCAGAAGCGTTCAGATGTGGAATATGCGACGGCAGGTGATCGCTCCATCATTTTTGGGTTCAGACAAAAATGGCTCCAATTTCAGACCCAGTGGTCACTTTGGAATGTACTGGACCATCACCTTATCGCCCAAGTCGTGCTACGAGGTCGACGCCGAGCGCTACGTCTTCTTTTGGCCGCTAACCTCCAATGTCCTTCGCTTCCCGCGCCACACCTGCCTTCTCTTTCACCGGCTGCACCTGTTTGGCGCGATCTTCCTCGTTCAGTTTTGCTCTGGATCGCTCTACGCGTTCATGGCGCTGCCCGACCCGATCAACCATTATTTCGGCTTCCCGACCAGCGACGCGCGCGCCGTCCAGCTCATCCTCGTGGCTGGCGTGCTCAGCATCCTCGCGCAGGTCCTTCTCGGCCCGCTCTTTGAGCGCCAAGGGCCGCGCTGGAGCATGGCGATCGCGACGCTCATCCTCACGCTCGGCCTCAGCGCGTCGCTTCTCGCCGTGTCGCTGCC